CAACCACAACCACTTTCTAATTTTTCTTAAAAATTTCTAAGAATGCAGTCTACATTCTCCACCAGGAGGCCATACCAGTATCATATACCCTGAAAATGTTTCTTTTTATAACTTTCTAAGAAAGCAGAGGTTCCCTTTCCTAGGAGGTAATTCTTTTGGCCAATGAAAGAGAAAAGGGGCTCCTCAGATTATGTAGTCCTTCTTTCTTTTTGCTGCCAAAGTCCCAGAAAAACAATAATCCGAATTAACTGACAATCTGAAACTTTAAATTTTTCCTATTTTATTTATTGAAAGGACATTCAATAAAATTTAAATATTCACCCATAATTCCACTACACTAGAACAATAGCTGTTTCATTATCCATTTTTCCTTCTAGTTGTCTACATGTACAGCTCTAATTAGGATATATATAATTATGTTTCTTCTCATTCTGTTAAGTGCTATGCTTGTTAGTTTTTTACAATAATTATTTTCAGTGTTGCAATAATATTCCATCTAGTTGATGTATCTTTATTTTCCTAACTTTTCCCCTTATATTGACGTTGAAGTCTTCTTTCCCCAAATTTTCTGTGTGTAGACATGCTATCTATAGATTTTTATATTTTTTTCTTTTGATTATTTCCTTAGGTTGTTTCTTAAGAGTACAGAGTTTATAGATCATACTGTATGAATATTTTTATGATTCTTGTTTCTAAGCTACTATTTTTCAACACTATTTTACACTGTGAGGTGTTTGTGTGTGTGTGTGTGTGTGTTTGTAAATATAGATGGGTTAATTGAGAAGACCTGAAATGGTACTAAAGGGTCTATTATTAAAGGTTATTTTTTAAAATTGAATAATCTTTACTTTTTTGTTTGTTTTGTTTTATTAAGGTATCATTGATATAAAATCTTATGCTCAGGTTTCACATGAGCAACATTGTGGTTACTACATTCCCCCTCTATTATCAAGTCCCCACCACATACCCCATTACAGTCACTGTCCATCAGCATAGTAAGATGCTATAGAGTCACTACTTGTCTCCGTGCTATACTTCCTTCCCCATGCCCCCCTATATTATGTGTGCTAATCATAATACCCCTCAATCCTCATCCTCTTCTCCCTCCCTCCCCACCCTCCCTTACCCATCCCTCCCCTTTGGTAACCAGTAGTTCTTTCTTGGATTCTGTGACTCTGCTGCTGTTTTGTTCCTTTAGTTTTGCTTTGTTGGTGAAATCATTTGGTACTTGTCTTTCTCTGCCTGGCTTATTTCACTGAGCATAATACTCTCTAGCTCCATCCACGTTGTTGCAAATGGCAGGATTTGTTTTCTTCTTATAGATGAATAATATTTCATTTTGTATAATGTACCACCTCTTCTTTATCCATTCATGTACTGACAGACACTTAGGTTGCTTCCATGTCCTGGCTATTGTAAGCAGTGCTCTGACAAACATAGGGGTGCATATGTCTTTTTGAATCTGTGATCCTGTTTTCTTAGGGTAAATTCCTAGGAATGAATTCCTGGGTCAAATGATATCTGTATTTTTAGTTTTTTGAGGAACCTCCATATTGCTTTCCACATGGTTGAGCTAATTTACATTCCCAACAGCAGTGTAGGAGGGTTCCCCTTTCTCTGCATCCTCGCCAGCATTTGTTATTGTCTTTTGCATGTTGGCCATCCTAACTGGTGTGAGGTGATATCTCATTTTGGTTTTAATTTGCATTCCTCTGATGAATTATCTTTACTTTTTAATTATGAAAATAGCAGATACTTATTGTCAAATAATATATAAAGTAAATAAAAAATGAAAGTTCCCCACCCTTCTTTAAGAGGACTGATTTAAACACATCACCACCTAAATTTGAGTTTACCTAAGTGTGAAATGTGATTCAATGCCCAAAGACTTACAATGGCCCATATAGAAACCCAATGGCATGACAAAAGTCCACACCAGCTCCATGAGACAAAAGAATATCCAAGTAGGGAAGTGTGGGGATGTGAGGAAGTGAGACAAGGAGCAAATGTTGGCTTAACACATTCCACAAGGAAAAAGGCAGAGGTTGGGGTATATTTTTGAGAGGAAAGAGAAAAAAGGAGTAAAAGTAAAGAGACTAAAAAAGCCCAGTATAGTCTGGACTGAGAGTGGCTTGGCAGAAACACAGGAAACCATTACATACAAGCAATAAACAAACTCTAAGACAAATTGAATACCTAAAAAAAGTATATAAAAGTATAATTAGTAGGGAATACCTGTTAACAAAAGACATAACACAGGCTCATCTCCTTAGTAGAGAATAAGAAAATAAACTTATTATACAGAAAAAATGAATTTGTCTCCTGCTTATCCTATAAAGCTCAAAGATGATTATTTGTTGATCCAACCAGGTCCTTTCTTTACCGTAGATTACAGAACATTAAAAAGTTGCTAATTTATTAGTACATTCCTCAATTTTCCATTTTCTATGCTTAGCTAGCTCTGATGGAAACCGTTTTTCTTAAGCCAAATATCAGGTTGTCTCTTCATAACCACACACATTCCAGATCGTTTCTACAACCCAATGTCAAGACCTATTTTTAAATATAATCTTTGCAATTTTAGTTTGCCTAATCTGTAGATTGCTTTGTAGGACCTCTAAGCCGTTTGTGCAGATATATTCTGTATCTTCAGTAAGACCATAAACGTCAGGGACCATCTTCTTTACATTCTTTATCCACCCATACAATGAACACTGAAATGTAGCTAGATGATCATAGAACCTTGCTTAATTCTATGATGGAAAATTGCAACATATGGCTTTGTTCTTGGATTATTAATACTACCAGCTATATTGTAGACAACCATTCTCTTAACTAAAAAGTTGCCCAAACATAAAGACCTTACACTTAAAATATTGTCCATTATCCTAGCTTTATCTCCCACTCCCAACCACCCCCATTCTGCTGAACTTCATGCTGCAGAGATACCAAAGCATTATTTTTTTCTGGAACACATGATGTAATTTCATATATCTAGGCCTTTGAACATGCTCTTTCTTCTCTAGGAAGTGCCTTTCACCTACCTGAGCAACGTGATTGGTGTTTCATCCTTCATAGCTCACTCAGTTGCCTCCTTCAGGATCCCCCATGTCCACCCTAAGAATTTCATGATGCTTTCCTCTGTGCTATCTCTGTATCTGGAATAAATTTCTATTGCTGCAGCACTGAGTGTACTGCACTGTAACTAACTTCTTACCCATATTTATGCCATTAGACACAGTTCTTGGGTGAGCAAAAATTCATCCAGACAAGGAAGAATGGGAAGAAAGAATGGAGAAATGAAGGGAGGGAGACCCAAAGAAGTTTCTGTGGCCTCCTTTATTCATGTCTTATTCACTTCCGTATCTCCAGGAGGTAGAGCAAGTACATAGGACACAGAGTGCTCATAAAATATTTGGTAAATTGATTTGATATAAATCTTAAAAGAAGAAAGTATGAACCACTCTGGCATGCAATTCTTAAAGGGAGAACTGCCATTAATCAAAACTATTTTCTGAGCCAAAGCAATTATGGTACATACAAACACATTAGGGGCCCAGCTTGAGACTGTATAGAATCTTAGTGCCAAAAACTAAGCTAGACATGGAATTCAAAGATGTATGAGACATGATCCTCTCCCAGAAAGGGCTCATTATTTAGATGGAGAATCCAGTTCATAAAAAGATAATTACCTTATAACATGATAAAAACTATATCCAGGACATGTTCAGAATACAAGGTAGAGATGTGTACTATCTAGCTTGAGGTGATGGAGTGGGGGGATTCAGGAAAACTCTGTGACAATGATCCCTGGGCTGAATCTTACATGACTGAGACATGTCTTAGTATGTTTGTTTGGTGGGCTGGTGCATGAAGGGGACTACTACTTCTATGGCTCATGTATCCTCCCGGGAATGAACTCATTCCAAGGGAAAGTTAGGGAAGGGACACTGGGTTGGAGTTGGAGAGGCGAGTGATATTGTGTCTTGAACTGTACCAGATGAAAAACCAAATAGAAGAACTGGTCTCAGAGGACATTGTACATCACAGCATAGGGGTGGTAGAAGATTTTACTGCAGTAGCCGAAGTGTAAGAAGAAGAAAGGGGTGTGGGGTGTGGTGACAGAGAGACGAGTATCCATGGAACACAGGCTTGGGGAAATGGCTACCCACAAACTAGCCCAGAGAACTGTACTCCAAGGCAGATTTGAGCTAGCCCTGGGGACTCTCTGAACTAGTTGGGAAAGAGTTTGGAGGAAGCCAGAGTTTCCACAATTGGAGGATAATGCAGAGCCAGATAAATATTTATTTGCTGCTGTAATGAACACTTTATTATTATTTTTTAATCCCAAGTTGCTTTGTCCTATATTGCATAAGGAAAGTACGAGACATTACTCCAGCCTGCAAGGAGTTTACAATTGCTGAGAGAGCAATTGTGTGTTTTAAAGAGCTATATATAGAAATACACTCAGGGTGGAAAAATTGTGAAAGACTTCCCAGAAAAGGAGGCGATGACAGTAGAATACAGAGATGAGAATATCAGACCATGTCCAGAGGATATTTACAGAAAACGTATATGTAAAAACACTTGAATTAAATAAGGTGGCACAGACACTTACTAATCCAATAGGGAACTTTGGAGGTAGGAAGTTTAACAAGTAAGACAATTTGCTTGAGGATAGCAGGAGAGTGGGAAGCCAGGAACCAGACTCAGGTGAGAAAGTAGCTGTGGGGCAAAGTCTTGGGCAGGATGTTTCAAGAGTGAAAACACAGTCTGGTGAAAGGTCAGCACCTCAGAGCTGAGTGGTAGGCAAGAACTGGATCTAAAGTGAAGGGTCTACAAGATCTGATAGATGAGTAGTTCAAGAGAGGTGTCTGGAAAGATTTCCTGAGTGAGGAGTAGCATATACAGAGAACTCTCCAGGGGCATCTCAGGCATGGGGTGAGCTGTTAACAGCTGGAACAGACAGGCTCCCAAGGAAGGCATTTTAGCTTACTCACCTTGTGTTGCCCAGGTATTGGCAAGCAGGTAATGAACATGGGGAACTGTCCAGAGCCCGCAGGGTAGTAGGTTTCTGCTTTTCTGGTCAATATCTGAGAAGGAGGAGTGACGGTGTGGGTTACTAATTGCTAGAGATGGGGCCTGTTAGATGTGGGTGCAGCAAAAGGTTTGATCTCGCCTCTACTTTCAAGTATCAAACAGGGTAGTCACTAAAAAATGCAAGTCATTTGCAAAAGATACCAGGCAGGAGACCAGGAGTTCCATTCGCAGTCCCTGGCTCTCCAGTTACCTGGAAATCCATCATACTTCAAGGTCATCAGAATATGGTTTTATCCTTTACCTCACTCAGGATGGAGGATAATAAAGGTATTAAGACCTCTCATTTGTCTTATGTTCTGCTTTTAATTTTAAGAATTTTAAAATTGAAAAGGGGCAATGCTTTAATTAAATGTTCCCTTTTACATTGTTTTAGCTAATACCATACTTTAAATAATATTTGTATTCTCCCACTTAACTGTTTAAAAGGTACTCATTTCAAAAGCTGAAAAATATGAGAAAGTAGATTTTTAAAGTCCCATAGCAATCATTTAATTTGCTTAACAATTTGAAGTATTTCCTTTCAGTCGTTCTTTCTGAGAAGGTATTCCTTTCTTTTTTAACATTACTGTAGTATAATGTTATTTATTTGAACTTCTGAATCTTATGGTAAACAGTGCCTGAGGAAGAGGATTTTCCAGATGAATTTGCACCCAGTTACACAATTTTGTCTGGGGGGAATAACAACTCCTAAGTAAATTGCTTGCTTTTTATATTTAATCCAGATGCCACATGAAACACATGCATGAGGATTCATTTAGGGTGCTCAATTCCATCAGTGTGGTTTGCTAGGCTGAGGATTCGACTTAGGATTTGTGATGGCCTTCTGCTTACTGGTAGTGCTTTAGGAAGTCTGCCGGACCTTTCATAACAATATATCCTGTTCTTAAGTTCTTCATTTTGATTCGCTTTTCAGCCAACTAAATAATTTGTTTTGTCTTCTTTAATAAAGTTATGTGAATTGTCAGCACAGTTTGAACTCTGGTGTACATGAATGTCTGTTACCTTCATGAAGGAAACAAAATGCTCCTAGGTACAACACTCTCCAGTCACAATCTCTGCCCCTGAAAACTGGCTCACCTGCTAACATTTGCTGCCATCCTTGGCTACCATCACTCCTACAGTTTTCATCTTTTTATTTTTCCAAGTTCCAAGAACATTTCTCAGTGTGTTTTCCACATCATTGCTTCAGTACATATCAGTATGGCTCCTACTTTTCACTGCCTCCAATTTGTATTTTAATTCTGCTGCTGCATGTTCAGTTTACCTACTTCTCTATCTTTACAGCCCTCTTTTTTACCTCTGCCTGTTTGTCCCACATGCTTGCATACTTCAGTTCCATACAGGCCATATCTTCTTGCATCAGAAAGGCAGAAGAAGTTTTTAAATTCCCTATAGTTCTTCTAATAAATAATTTTTGTAATTGTTGTTCCTTTAAATCTCCATAATGATGTTCCCTTCATTTGTCCTTATAAAGGTTTTATAAGTCCTGTATTATTATCTGACCTCTCATCTAATGATGAGAACATCTAGATCTGGTGTTTGATGGCAAACAGGCTATATGGACAGCCACTGGCCCTATTCTGTCAGCATATGGGTGGTGGGTTCCCCTGCTCCAGTCTTCAGCTCTGGAGTGGATGAGTACATCTTCTCATCTAATTCCTGATGTCTAAAAGCTTTCCATCTGGTGTAGGTCAGCTAATCTGAGATAAGATCCAACTACCAGGCTTACCGATAGGCAGAAATGATGGAATACTAAAAAAGCACAACACTACAATCTCCAGTGTGTTATTTGAGGTGTTTTTGATTATGAGTAACAAAATCCATTTCTAATTGGCTTAAACAGAAATAGGATTTTTGGGCTCAAGTAACTGGAAAAGTTCTGTACTATGGTGGGCTTCAGGGTTTTTTTCTTTAACTTTTTATTATGGAAAATTTCAGATCTATACAATGTAAAAAGATGGTACAATGAACCCCGATGTACCTATCACCCAGCTTTCACAATTTAAGATTCTGCCATTCTTTTATCATGCATGCCTCCAGCTTCTCCCTACCCTCACTTGATTGTTATTTTTCTAATGCAAGTTTTTAGGCAACATTTACAAAAATTTAAATGCACAAAGCTAAACTGTAAAATTTTAACAAATGGCCACCTCTGTAAAACCCACATTACATTAAGACATACAATATTTCTATTTCGCCAGAAAGGTCTCTTCCCAGTCAAACCATTGCTCCCCATCTCCAGCCCTAGGCAACCCGTTTCAATTTTTTTTCAACAGAGATTAGTTTTGCCTCTTCTACAATTTCATATAAATGAAATCATTCAGCATTTGCCTTTTAATGTCTGCTTTCTTTCACAGAGCCTTATGACGATGAGATTCATCCATGTCATTGTATGTATCAATAATTCACTCCTTTTTATTGGGGAGCAGTATTCCATTGTGTGCACATAACCACAACTGTTCATGCATTTCCTGTTGATGGACAAGTGAGTTGTTGTTAGTTTTGTATACTGTGAATAAAGTTGGTATGAACACTTGCACAAGTCTTTTTGTAGAATATGTTTTCATCTCTCCTGAATAATATGTGGAAGTGGAATAACTGAGTCAAGGGTAGGTGTACTTTAATTTTTCTAACATAGTGCCCCAAATTTTTCATTCACAGGTATATGAGAATTCCAGTTGCTCCACATTCTTGCTAACATTTGGTGATTTTGGTCTTACTACTCTTACTGATTTTTAGGTAATCTAGGGAATAGGAATTATTTTACTGTGGTTTTAATTGATCTTTTGAAAGAACCTATTTTGGCCTTGTCAATTTTCTCTGTTGTCTATTTTCTATTTAACAGATACATATTTTTTTCTTTATTTTCTTCCTTCTTGGGTTTACTTTGCTTATATTTTTCTAGCTTTTGGGAACTTACATGATAAATGTTAAACCTTCCTCCTTTCTAATATAAACAATTAAAGTTATAAATCTCCCTCTAAGCACTACATATTGCAAGTGCTAATGTTATTTTTCATTATCATTCAGGTGAAAATACATTCCAATTTCCCTTCTGATTTTCTTTTGATCCATGGGTTATTCAGAAGTGTACTGTTTAATTTCCAAATTTTTGGGAATTTTTCAGATGTGTTTTTTAAGTTGATTTCTAAGTTAATTCAATTGTGATCAGAGAACATACTCTATTAGGTTTGAATCTTTTGAAACTTACTAAGACTGTTTCATGGCCCTGTATTTAGTCTTTCTTGGTAACAACTTCTAGGAAACCTGAAAAGATTCTGTATTCTGTAACTTTGGGCTGTTGGTTTCTATAAATATTAATTAGGTCAAGGTGGTAAACAGTGTTATTCAGCTTTTCTATATCTGTACAGATTTTTTACCTAATTACCCTGAAAAGCATGTGAAAATCTCCAAGTATAATTGTAGAATTGAATCCTTTTCCCTTTAGTTTTGTCAGTTTTATGCTTCATGTATTTTGAAGCTTCATTAAGCATACACATTTATAATTGTGTCTTCCTGATACATCGATATTTTATCTTTATAAAATGCCCCTATTTATTTCTGATAACACTCCTTGTCTTAAAGTCTATTTTTGTCCATTATTAAAATATCAATTCTAACTTTCCAATGATTCATGTCTGCATGGTATACCTTTTTATCTTTTTCCATCCTTTTACTTCAACCTTAGAATCTGTGTGTTAAAAGTGCATGCCCTTAAATCTGCAAAGAAGTAAAAAGCTAACCTTTTCAAAGAATATTGCTTCTCTCTCACTTACCAACTTTACATTTCCCTGTATGGCCCCGAAGATGACTGGTTAGCCAGAGTCGGGTAAGATTCCTCAAGAGGAGAACAACCTAAGACAGGCACAGTCACAGGGGGGCCATCAGGTGAGAAATTGGGGATCAACAGAGGTGAGGCTTAGAACCTCACCGCCCCTGTTTTGAGAGAAATCTTCTGCATCCGTGGATGTTTTGTTGCCCTTGTCTAGCTTGGATTAATACTTAGTCCATAGGCACAGACCTGATCATCTACATTTGCCCTCTTATAGCACTAAACTATGTTTTCTACCTTTATCTTGCATCTACCTACCCCTCCAGCATTTTATTAAAATAATAATAATAATAATAATAATAATAATAATAAGGGAGAAATGTGGGATTTACATATAAATCAAGTATAAAAATCAAATNTTAGGCTTGGGGTTGATTAATGATTGTGCATTGAGTCCCCTATACAGAATTTTATTGTTGTTAACAACCATTTGATCAATAAATATGAGAGATGCCCTCTCAAAAAAAAAAAGTGCATGCCTTGTAGACAAGCTACAGTTGGGTCATGTTTTTTGATCCAGTTTGACAATCTCTGCCTTTTAATTGCAGTGTCTAATCTAATATTACATTTGATTTGGCTGAACCTAGACTTGCCATTTGCTATTTGTTTTCTGTTTATGTCATCTGTTTGTTTGCCTGTGTTTTTGTTCCCTCATTGGGGTTAACTGAAAAAAGTTTTTAGTATTCCACTCTGATTTCTCCATTGGCTTGTTAAAAACAGCTTTGTTGAAATCTAATTCACATACCATATAATTCATCCATTTAAAGTATACAATTTAATGATTTTTTTAAAAAACATACTCACAATGGTTGTAAAACCATCACAAAAATATAATTTTAGAACACTTTCATTCCCTTAAAAGAAGCCCATACCCATTAGGTGTCCCTCCCCATTTCCTCCTCAGCCACTCAGCCCCAAGCAACTACTAATCAATTTCCTGCTTCTATGGATTTGCCTATTCTGGACATTTCCTATAAATAGAATCATACAATATGTGGTCTTCTCACAGGTTTCTTTCACTTGGCATAATGTTTTCAAGGTTCATCCATGTGGTAGCTTGTATCAATACTTCATTTCTTTCTATTGCTGAACAATACTTTATTGTATGGATATACCACATTTTATCTTTCCATTAGTCAGTTGATATACATTTGAGTTGTT